AACTTGTTTGGAAACAGTCATCCAAGCGTGGTGCAACTAGTTCTTCTTAAATGTGATTTATTTCTGAATGAAGCAGGATATTTGACAAGAAAGAACAGAGCCAGTCCAAATGCATGTTTACTAAAAATAATGCATAAATAGCTGCTTGATTATTGGCCAAAATCCAGTAGGATTAGATACTTTTAACTTATTTAAACTTAACTGTTCATAGTAAAATCAGTAATATAAGATCAATTTCTCTTGTTCTCATGCTGAATAAAACTATATTACTTTGTAGAATAATTGTTTATTGTACATATTAGCATTACTTTACTTGAGTATTGGTATTTTTATCATGAAGAAGAACCTGTTTGTAGGCAATCATAAACAAAAGTAACTGTTCAACTGTATTTTCAGGAAGAAGCTATACTTCATTCATATGTGGAGAAAGAGAGCACATGATAAACATTTATGTCCAAATATGTTTTTTTTTTTTAAATTCCAATTGACCCTTCACAGGGAGTTTGACCGAAGACAACATTGGTTTGACTAACAGGCGATTTGACCAATCATAACGCCAAATTCGCCATTTTTGTCCGACAAAGAAACCAGACTGGGGAGTAAAAGTAGGAGGAGCTGAACACAGTGCCGGCTGACACCTGAGTCCTGATGGAGTTAGGCTTGGGGTAAACGCATTAAAGGGATAGTTCACCCAAAAAAGAAAATTTGATGTTTATCTGCTTACCCCCAGGGCATCCAAGATGTAGATGACTTTGTTTCTTCAGTAGAACACATTTGATGATTTTTAAGTCCAACCGTTGCAGTCTATCAGCCTTAACATGCATGGCAATGGTAACAAAATATATGTGTAAAAAAAACATGCACAGACAAATCCAAGTTAAACCCTGCGGCTTGTGACGACACATTGATGTCCTAAGACACGAAACGATCAGTTTGTGCCAGAAACCGAACAGTATTTATATAATTTTTTACCTCTAATACACCACTATGTCCAACTGTCTTTGGGTGCGCGCACGACTTCCGGTGCGTGAGGTGTGTACACACTCTGGGATAGTTTACATTAATGGGGGTTGTCGCGGGAAGAGCAAACGACAGACACAGTGGGTGTGGCGTCAGGCCTCGGAGAGGCTTTTATTAACAGAAAATAAACAGTGTCCAGAAAAGAAGGGAATCAAGTATCCAAAATAAACAGGGGATCTGGTGTCCTCGTCATGCTGCGGGGTTCGTGAAGGGAAGGGCAGTGGTCAGGAAGGAAGGGTCCAGGTAAGGGGCGGAGTCCGGCGACCGCACGCGCTCCCCTCTCCAGTCCGGGGCGTGAGGGGCAGCGGCTTCTTTCAGCGGCTTCATCCTTCTCTCTGCCCACGGCGCTTGAAGGGACTAGACGGCCGTGTAACGGGTGCGGTTCTCGTCCAGACTGCGGGTCCGGCAGCTCACAACTCTGGTGGCACGGGAGTCCCTCTACGCACCCCTCCTGGACCCACGAGGACACCAATTAGAATGTTATATACACGACATTCCCACTCATAGTTATTAATGTTGTGCACTGCTGTTTGAGCTGCGTGCGCTGAGCTAAAGACGATCACCGGTAAACTGAAGTGCTCTTTTAACTTAACCAAACGCATTCTATATGAGATAAATCAGATATACATCAAATAAACACAATATTACAACGTACAATTGCACAAAAGGCTGCAAACGAACAGCGCGCATCTGAAGTGTCTCTGAAGGAAATAATGCATTATTTATCGGCTTTAAGATATCGGACAAATTTTCTTATCAGGCCGATACCGATAACAGAAAAAATGAGCATTTATCGGCCGATACCGATATGGTGGCCGATATATCGTGCATCCCTAAAAAAATTATATACATACTGTTCGGTTTCTCACACAAACTGATTGTTTCGTGTCTTAGGACATCAATGTGTCGTCACGAGCCGCAGGGTTTAATTTGGATTTGTCTGTGCATGTTTTTTTTACTCTCATAGATTTTGTTACCATTGCCATGCATTATAAGACTGATAGACTTCAACGGTTGGACTTAAAAATCATCAAATGTGTTCTACTGAAGAAAAAAAGTCACCTACATCTTGGATGCCCTGGCGGTAAGCAGATAAACATCAAATTTTCATTTTTGGGTGAACTATCTCTTTAAGACGTAGATTATGATATATTAAACTGAACAATAGGTGGCGACATGTGCTTTTGATGCCCGCCAGTTAAACAAAAGAAGAAGACGACAGGGATGTAGATTATCATTGGCAGTGTTGCCAATTTAGCTACTTTGTAGCTAGATTTAGCGACTTCCCCGCCCCTTTTGAGACTTTTTTCAAAAGTTTAGGGACAAATATAGCAACTGCTTGGTCAAACCTTATCTAAGTTCTCATCTTGCCCACTGATCTACGTTCATCTTTATATAGATCAGTGAATTTGCCATTGTGATGTCATCTAGTGACATTTAGCTACCAGTTTTAGCTACTTTCAATTGAAAGCAGTTGGTAACACTGATCATTGGTGGACCTAAACTTGAAAAATTGTGTGCATTGACTCTTTTCACAGATGAAACAAGATACCATCTTAAGTTCATTCAAGATTATTTCATGCTATAACTAGTAAAGTAGAAGAGATGATCGGTTCACATGCCACTCGAACAGAGGCACTACAGCGATCTGTCAGACATGTTATGCATATTGAATAATGCATATTCAAACAAAAGCCAACATGGATAAAATCAACGTTACTCACCTATCAAAAAGAAAAAACAACGCAACCTCGGCATCTGATTCCAGGCCTTTCTGCTCCTTGAGTTCTCTCCACCGCTGGAAAGCTGCTCCGATATTTACACGGGTCCTACCTCTTCTTGCCTGATCGTAACCCTTCTTTTTAATGTTTGTTTCGCTGATATTTTCCTCTTTTTTTTATCTGCCATCTCTCTGTCTATAGTCGATCTACTAATATCCATCCTGTGCACTCAAATTGAGCGCTCTCTTCTCTCTATCATTGCAAAGACACGCCCCCTTACTGCTGATTGGCTACAATTTGGGACTTGGTCCGACCCATAGACTGTATAAAAACATGTCCATAGTGTCCGTGATGTAACCCGTAGACTTCCAACGAGCGTTTTGAAGCCTAAAGTAGGCGGAGCCAGCCGTCGCCATCTTGGCAGCGCGTCACTGCGCGTCACTCCCGGATAATCGAAAATGGGCAAAGAGGCGGGAGCTGGCTGCTGAAACCACGCCCACCTAGCTCGACGGTGGTGACAGCAGCGGCAATCCACCTGTCACTCAAGTGGCCACGCCCTTAATTATGCAGAACTTTAAGGCTTAATATAATTTAAACAGATGAGTTTTTAAAAAAGTCACCCCACTCGCAGTTGTCATGAAGGGCAAAATTAGCTATATAGACCAAAATAATTTTTTGAACCAGGCTGTAAACATGTTTTTTTCTGCTGTAAAGTTGGGCATTTTAACATGGGGAGTCTAAGGGATTGACTCCCTTTTGCAGCCAGCCTCTAGCGGCCAGTCGATGAATTGCAGCTTAAGTCACTTCCTTGTTGGCTTCACGACAGAGAGCGGGAGGTTGCCGCTCGGTCCGACCAAAAGCGTTTTTCAAAAATCACTTTTTTGAAAAATAATTTTTAAATACACTACAGTTTAATTGTGCTCTTTAATAGTTAAAAATAACAATTTAAGTAATTTAAAAGTTTAAAATGGAATGAATAGGCCTATTCCAAAGAAAAATCTAATTTTACTCATTGAAGTGAATTTAAATATGGTACGCTATTCCACATTAGGCTACGTTTAAAAGACCGTCCTTGATAACTTGGTTATGGGTAAAATTATGGATACAGTTTAATCAATCACAAGCCAGCTGCGATTATTTTGTGACTAAAATAAATAGGACATAGCAATATAGGGGAGTAGGAGGAGGAGGATAGAGGAGATGAGAACCGGACACGTTGTGCTTTTCCGCCGTCTCCCAGCGGGAGTGTAATATCGTGGCTCCTGCGCGCTGACACGCACACCTGGAAGTGCCGCTATGCTGCTCGCAGCACTGCACCAATTATAGCGCAACATCTCGCTCTGCCGTTACCATAGTAGCGCCGTGCTCCTGTTCCCCTGGAACGAATGAACCGTGGGGGAGCGAATATCTTATCAACCATCGCCCTGGTTACCGCGCTCTCTCTCTACGCGCGCCCCGTCGCTTGAGTGAGAGGCCAGAACAGGCGCCCTAGCTGCAAATGTGTGTGTGTGTGTGTTTTGGACAGAGCTGCAGACGTGAGCACAGAAGGGTCTGGGTGATGTTGATAAGACTGAAGGAGCCTTTGCAGCGTCCCTCAGCCGCTCTGTGATCGTGGGCCATCATTTCAGACATGCACACGAACCCTAAATTGCATTCTAACGAATCTGATTTGCTCGGATATACAGATTCGACGTTGCATGTGGGGCAGGGCGGCGTTCAAATCGTTTCTGATGGCCGTGCACCTGGAGGACAACAAAACACGCTTGGCCCCCTCTCTACGCAACCCCCACACACTGCTTTTGCTCTCTCCCCATGCGGCCCTCTGGCTCGCTCGCTCTCATCGGATTGATAGCCACGAGGAGTGAGACAGACAGATGTGGCCTGCAGAGAGAAAAAAAAGCTTTCACACTCTCATTCACTCCTACACCACTGACAAAAATATCACGCTTAGTTCACTGGTTTAACCCACACACAACACAAGCACACACTCACTCACTCTCACACTCGCGCACGGTTCAGTCAGAGGAAAATTATGAGTGCTCATTGATTTCACCTCACATGACTTCCTCCGTCAATGACTTTCTTTGTGAACGCAAACCCAAAATGAAAGCAAAATATCAAATAAGCATGTTTCAAAGAGCATCATTACTGAAGCTCAAGACAAGTAATAATCGTTCATTTAAAGTGGTCATCACCATGCAAACATGCTATAGAATTGACATATTTCGACAACGACAATAGAAATGTTTGATTTGCACCTCGGTTTATTTAATTGAGGACTGCCAAGACCTCAGAATGGTTGGCTTTGGACACATATACATGCATTCATTTACGCAGACCGATAATTTTGGCCCCATACGGCACGGGAACGGCGTGCTGTTGGAATTTGACTTGAAATCATTTTGGTATAGTGCATTTCACTCAATCTAGATCAGTATTGGGGCGAACCTGTTCAGTAGGATTCAAGCATGAAGAAGAAGGGAAAAAACACCAAAACGACAATTACAGCTAAAAAAAAAAAAAGTCACTTATTCATCTTGGTGTCCATGTTACGTAGATGCCCTTAAGCCCCTTTCACATGAATAGCGCCAATGCGTGTCTCAACAAAAGCATCACGCGCTTTGACGCTCATGTGCAACGCCTTACGGATAGCTTACAGAAGGGCAAGTTTACATGGTTGCTGGGCAGAAAGAAACCAGAGAACCGTTCACAATGAAAATGAAAGTGCTAACATGTTTGTGAGCTTAAAACAGAAAGGAAATCACTTGTAAAGGAAAACTCTTGAACAAGAGTTTATGAAACTTTTCTCATAATGCTCTAGACAGATGCAGCTCAAGGTGTCACAATGGGGTATTGCCTGGTAATCCTTGTCTATATTATGAAAACTCAATGACAAATGGAGTTTAAGTTGAAATAGTTTAAATTTTAAGCATCATAGAACAACAATTGTACATGTTCAATGATGCAAACCATGTGAAAAGGACTTAAAGGAGCACAGGAGATCAGGTCTTGGAGTAATTCAGCAATAAAACATCCTAATCGTAGAAATATTATCATTACACATCAATAATTTCCTGAATTTTGGAGGTCCTGGTCTGCTAAGGGCCACGTCTTCCATCTGACCAATACTATGAGGCTACAAGAAAAAGGAGGCGGGTCCTATGCATAGCTGGTCTACATAGTGTAGTTCCATCAGCTTCGCCTTCCCTCCAATCTCAGCAGGCCTACAGCATTTAATAACAAACAAACAGAACGTCAAACCCAAAAGGACCTTTCAGGGATGTTTGTAATAAGGGATGCTACATTAGAGTGTTTTTCATGGTCATCTTCATATCAAATATTGAGCAACTTGAAAACTGAATGACAAATCAAACCCCCCCCCCCCAAAATCCCTTAACATAAAAAGGCAATCGTAACATTGAGGCAGTCAGTAAGAACCACTGTGCTAAATTACAATAGTGCTCCTTAATTATCACAAGCTTTAAAACAGAGCCTTGGGATTACATTCTCTAAACAAAATTACGGCATTTCTCCACACATGGACAAACAAAACCACTAAAAACACAAATAAAAATGATTGTCCGTTTTCCATTTGGCGGCAAATAGTTCCAGAGCATCCAATAAAGGGCAAGAATCCGGAGTAGAACTCAGATGGTTCCGAAATGGAACACAGGAAAAAAGAAAAACGGAATGACATTCTGCCATTCACTGTTTATTTTTGGTTCAGGACATGTTCGTTCTCAAATAGTGCTTTCATTCCGCTCTTCATTTGTTTTATTTGTTTGTTTGCACCCAGTGTTTACAAGTGCCACAGCTTTCCGAGTGGGAGAGGCGTCACTGTCCATTGGGAGTCCTTCATTATGGGATGGAAGTCATGGGGGGGAGGGTCCAGCTGCCCTACGGAAACCATCGGAAAGGAGCTCCGGTTGGCAGCATCACCTTCTTGGAAAGACAGGAAAGACAGAGGAAGGAAACAAGGAAAGAAAACCATGTGAGTCATTGATAATTCAACATTAACACCAACAATGGAGCAGTAAGAAAATGGGAAATGTCTCATTAAACTGGACTCTCAAGCCTCATCTCTAGACATTTTCTGTCTCAAATCCCTCTCTTTCTGCGGAGCCAGGCTTGCTAAGACCGTAAAGGGCTGAAATACCGCAGTGGAGCAAATGGCAGATTTTTTCCCAGGCTGCTTTGGGACTGGGCAGGGGTAGTCTATGGCTGTGGGACTTTGGGAGAGTGGAGACAACGGCAGCGTTTCCTGGGAAGACGTCCAGAATGAAAGAACGAAGGACCGAGGGAGAAAAAGAGGGAGGGGAGCGTTCCCTTCATCATGAAGTAACATGCACAGGCAATGATTTCACCTTACATGACCTAGTCCCTCTCTCTGTTTCCCAAACACACTCTCCCACTCTCTCATTACTCTCTGACAGGGCTTTGGCGTTTGTACGCACGCACACACACATCCAGACCCCCTTTTCCCTCATCGACCCCATAGACAAGCCAACACAGATGGGCTGTCGGCCCATGCACATGGCCAATCAGACAGAGCGTGAGTGCATGGACAGTCACACACTCACACACAAACACTCACCAGATTAATTTCGAAGGTTATTTTTTAACCCATCATCTCCTCAGTCTCTACATCACACACAAACACATAAACAATACACAAGAATGACTGTAAGAATAGAGGATCAAGAGCACCATAAACATTACACACAGACATTTTTTTTAAACTGGCAGAGACTGATACAGTTGATTTTAATCAATAAACAGATCTGATTTCTGTTTTATTTCAACTTTTTAACACAACAACTAAATAATTTCTGCAGTCATATTTATTGTTTATTTCAGATTTTTGGCAATAATAATTAAATGACAATTGTAATACAAAATAAAAACAGTATGCATTATGAGTATTTTAATAATAATAATGATAATTACAAGAATGATAAAACAACAACAACAATAATAATAACAAATTATTATTATTATTTTAATGCAATTCTATTTATTTCAAATTTTTGGACAAATAAATGATTGTTATGCAACAAAATACAAACAAGTATTTTGAATATATACATTATATATAATTTATAAATAATAATTATAATTAATAATAAAATATTCATAATGTATACTATGCTTGTATTATTACTGTTGTAATTGTTATTATTAATACTACTTTATTATTTATGCAATTACATTGTTATTATAATTTATGTCAGATTTTTGACAACAGTAACTAATTATTATTATTATTTTATTGTTTTTTTATTATTACTATTATGTGAATACCTACTTTTTTAGTAGTTTTTTTAAAAAGAGATCCACCAAATGTTGCCATTTATCAGTAGACCTATATATATATATATATATATATAAGACCAATAACCAATTTTTTTTTAAAGTCTGTCTTTGATGGACATACAGTAGATAAAATGCAGAATTCATCGCCGCAATGCTAAGGTGTTATGGGTGGTTGCTTGGGTGTTGCTATGCAGTGCTAAGGACTTGCTAGTATTTTTAAATGTTTTTCACTCTTCTTAACAAATCAGTTAAACAGTTATGTCTGTAGTACAAACAGTATGAGTAACAGTTGGTTTAGCAAACTTTTTGGTTTAACAGTTGGTTTTTGGTTTAGCAAACACCACTAACGTGTCCAAAGAGTATGTAAATGTAAGCAGGTACTGATATATGTTGATATATTGTGTGTCGGACTGTTTTTGGCTCTCTCACACAGATACCGACACACACGCTGTTCCTAAAATACTTTTAGCCGTCCGGCTGTGAGACTGAGATTCCTCTACAAGAGGAAGGGGTGGGGCCTGGCAGGCAATGTTTGAGGCCCCGCCCACTCAATCTCCTTCTGCTTCCAGCTATATCAGGGACTTTCCGAGATACTGGCCGCCACACAGATGCAGTGAGATGTGTCATCATGCAGTACACACACATCAACAAAAGTTTCAAGTAATGACATGCAAGGTAAGATCAATGGCCAGAAATCGAATGGGATTTGCACAAAAAAACACGCCTAACCTGGCTCAAAACACATAAAAGGGCCCTACATATGAAAACACATCTATCCATCCCAAACACACATGCGCGCGCAAACGCGAATAAAGAAGTCAATAGACCCCCGCACCACTGACTGTGACCTGTCAATAACGGCTCTTTAAACTCTGTAAGTCCTCTATGCCTTATTCAACCAAACCAACCCCACTGTCAATAAAAGCACACAATACACACACACACAAAGAAATATATGCAATTTGTTTGCATTTGCTTTCTCCAGAATATTCATTTTTAGAACTAAAAAACTGATTCAATGATATCATGTAATGTCATCTTAATGGTAGTGATGTTCATATGTGTTATTAGGGTAACTGCATTTACATTTATAAACTAGGCAGGTGCTTTTATTCAACACGATTTACATTGCATTCAAGGCACACATGATATCAGTTCATGCATTCTCTGGGAATCAAACCCATGACCTTGATGTTGCTAGTGCCATGGTCTACAGTTAGAGCTACAAGAACTCAACACCAGCTAGTGACCAACCAGTACAGGAACTAGCAACATGAAGAGACAATCACTGAGAATATGAACCGGGTTTTAGGCAAAAAAGTATGCACTACACGAGTATGCAAATGCATCACAAGCGCACTGTCCCAAAGCGCTTGCGCATGACACAGCATTCTAAAATGTGACACTGAAATTAAAGTTACACTATGTAACTTTTGGCCCTCCAGCAATTTTGAAGCATAAACCTACTAACTTACAGAGAAACATTATGTTGGTCATTATGTGAGTTGTGCTTCAGCTCTGCACGGATGAATCTGATGGGTTTAGGCGCTCCACTGTGCTCATGGTTACAGATGATCGCCTTATCAGTGTGAGAAATATATAAGCCTATATAATCTGGCAAAAAATATTGCCCATATAAAATATAGGCAAACAATATAGAAATATAGGCAAACAGACCAAAGTAGAAACTGATTTAAAAACTGGCACTGTTACCAACAAACATTGTTTTGTGAACCAAGTGCACAGCAAATGTGATGCTGTTCATATATGTTGATTCATGTTTTATTACCAATATTATTGCTTTGCCTTTCAGCTTGCAAACTCATTTTGGTTCTGGATTCAATGTTGTTTTAGCTTCAAGCTACTTCCACTGCATATAGTAGTAGCTTGAACTTATTTATTTAAAGATATGACATAAAAAATAAGCACAGGAGAATGACAAAAGTATGTAGTTTCCTAAGAAATCCGTCCCGATGGCTCTTAAAATATAAATTCATTTAGTTTAGTGATTTAGGGCAAGGCAAAACAGTTTTAAGATGTGCTCACTCATTATTTAAATTTTGTTCAATCTTAACAACAAAAAATTACATGGTGTAGCTTTAAAAATGCATCTTTTTTTATTCCACTGCCCTGATTCCCATGTTTTTGGAAAAATAAAAAATTCTGTGTGAATGACCTCTTAAGAATTACCTATCCATAATCATTTGTCCAGTTTGACTAACTTTAAATTTTTTAGTGAGATTATCTTGAAACTGTTGCCTGCCATGACAGTAGTTGACCTGATAGTCAAAACTCACTACAGATTTATGCTAATCCTCTATAGTGCCCCTTGTGGTAACATTTGTTTTACATTATATATTACAAATTCTACAAAATGTGAAAACAGCTAGAAACGTTTGTATTCACAAACTGCATGTATTTTGGGCCTTAGACTTCATAGAGACACAAACACAAACACACACAAACTGAGCCCTCTAAGCTCTGGCGCACACCAATACCACAATCTTTACCTCTTCACTACTGTAATTCTCAAAGAAACCTAGTCAGTGGTCAGTACACACACGTAAACACAACCCCTCTCACACACACGCAGTTCATAATGACTTTCACCGGGGCTGTGTTTGCCTCTTCCTGCAACGCTATACACACAAACAGACACACACGCACACACACACACACACACACACACACACACACACACGCGGTTCAGGGCCTCTGGAGGACGAGAAAGAGAGGGGTTCTGGGACACATTGACACCTGGTGCTCCAGATGACAGACGCAAAGGCCAGATGGACCGTAAGAGGCTGCCACTCGCACACAGAGACACACACATGCACATGCGTGTACGTGAACATGCATGAAAACAAACTCATATGCACAAATAAAAACCATCATGCTGCAAAAAACAAACAGTCACACAACAAGATTGAAAGGCCCCACGTGTACATTCACAAATTATTTTCATTAACTGTTCCTGAGTCAAACATTTAGAACAAGTTTGCAGCATTAAGTAAAAATATGGTCACATGCAACAATATCAGCACCTATTTAATATTTAGCATACAGATATATGGAGCAGGATTCTGAGCCATTGATATTTCTCTTGTGAGCGGGGCCACTTAGTATATAGTATGTATACTATAAACACTACGTACAGTTTCCTACAATACTACAACTATTACAGTAAAGAGTATTGTCTCCCACAATGCAATGTACTTGACCTTCTATTTCAAGTGTGAAGGGGTTTTTTTATCATAAATTTAATTAAAAAGACAAAATTACCATTTTATTTCCAGTCATATGCAATGTGACAACTGTTTAGCTTACTACTGTTTGAATGGTTTATTGTGGAATAATGTCTACAGTTTTCAGTACACACTTTTCAATAAATAGTATGCTAGTTTTCCATGTCAAACATATACATGGTATGTAATGAATAGAAATAGAATATATGTAATAAATATGAGTGGTATGCTATTTCCAAAGTCTTTCACCAAAGGTTTTGGTGTGTTCAAGTCCTCCTGGGAAATTTGTAATTACGATGTCAAGTGCGTTCAAATCACTTTGGTCGCAGCAAGACAGTGATGTACTTTTTTTGTTTGATTTGTTATATATAAAATTATATTAAAATTAAATATATATATATATATATCACAGTCTTGTTTTTACTTAGTCTTGGACTAAAATATCTAAACATCTTATCTTTTTAAAAATATCTTTTAAAAAATCTAAAAAATATATATTAAAAAATTATTAAAAAATGATAAAATAATTACAAAGTTATATAAAATTATTTTTAAACTCTACATCTACAAAATGAACACACTGGGATTTTTCAGCAAACTGATTCTTAATTGTACAATAATATGGGATTTTGTATATGCAAGTTATGTTTATTGTAAATAAAACAATAATAATTACATTAATTTGAAGGAATTTACCATTAATAAAGATGCTGCATCCATTGCATCAGACATGTTTTCTCACTGACACGCCCCAATTCTCGGTTTCCCAGCTGTAATTACGACTTTGTGGTGGCGTTCATGTGCGTTGAGCTCATAAATACAATCTTTCTGACATGACTTGAAAGCACCATATTCTATTGTCTTGATGTGTTGTGTAGCACCACCCACTGTGAAATCTCATTGGTCCAAAGTCCCACATTCAGTACTTTGAGTAGAGACAGAACACTTAATGCTGGAAACTTGTGCGTTGTGCCAGGTTGGAACATGGTGTTATTTCAACATTTTATATTCATCACATTCATTCAAATTCATTATATCTGATAGCTGAAACTCTGAATCATCTCATCATAGCGGACAGTGAAGGGGAACCTTACCTGTGGAACATCATGATGCCTTAACATTTTCCTTGCAAGAGAAAATAAGCAACCAACTAGACCAATCTTACCATGACACCATTCTCACAAAGTTAGACCCTAACTAGCTTACATCAGCACAGACTCAGAGCTAATTTTCCCACACCTGAACCTGCCTGTAAACAAGGCAGAAACATCTCAAGTTACGCTGCCTGAGAGATGGGAAACTGCATTCAGCTTGCCATTCGTCAGGATGAGTAATGTTCCTATGCAAAAATGTATGAAACACAAGCAGCATTCATTTCTATGTGGAATGTTTGTAAAAACTAGGGCTTGTCAATCGATTAAACATTCGAATCAAATTAATTACGAAATACACAGATTAATTAACTGAATTAATCACAATATATGCTGAAACATTTAAAGCCATTGTGACAAACATAATAGATTTAGAAGTCATGTACAGAGTTACATGATATTATGTTGCTCTATATGCACAAGCGTGAGATGGATCTATTTGGTCACCAGTTATTTAGTGAGACAAACATCAAGTTTGGATCATACTGTTTTCTTTCTGAAGTCTCTTATTCTCAACAAGTCTGCTTTTTTTTTTTAAATACAGTAAAAATAGCAATATTGCGAATTATTACAATTTAAAATGAAGCATGTTTCATTCTGTTTTCTACATTAATATATTTTAAAATGTAATTCATTCCTGTGATGCAAAGCTAAATTTTCAACATCATTACTCCAGTCTTCAGTTTCACAAGATCCTTCAGAAATCATTCTGATATGCTGATTTGCCGCTCAAATAACATTTCTTGTTATCAATGTTGTTAATCACAGTTGTGCAGCTTAATATTTTTGTGTAAAGAACAGCATTTGTTTAAAAGTGAATTATTAAAAATGAAGCCTTTACTGTCACTTTAGATAAATTTAATGCATTCATGCTAAATAAAGTTTTAATTTCTTAAAAGAAGACCTCAAATGTTTAAATAGAGTGTAAATTGTTCAGAAGGTAGAAAATACTTTCTTACAGATTTTACATCATTAATAGTTTTACAGTCTTATTTAATTTAACTGCACTAACTCATTAAACTATAGTGAAATCCATTATTTAAAAAAAATCCATAGTAAAATCCATAATTTTCCATTAATCCATTACGTAAATCATTGCACTGAACTGAAATAAGTCATTAACACAAAACTGATTCCACAAATTATTTACACAGAAATTTGCTCTGCTTGTATTTCACAACTTTTATTTTCAACTTTTGCTGCTTTTATCCACAGGATTAGTAGAGCGAACAGGAAACGATAAGCAGATGAGGGAAGAGAATCAAGAAATTACGCAAACTTGCACCACCTGCAGGAGCATCACAGTGCAACGTATCAGAAGTGTGGCCTACTGATTTAGCACAAGCATTATGCTGTGGTGCCCATGCAGATGATGCTAGCTTGCGTCCGGCTAGCATTCAGGGAAAATGTTTATGAATTTACTGTGCATTGCTCACCATCTTACCTCCAGCCCGCCAGCAGGTTTCTTTTTGAGCTCTTCGCACTTGCGGAACTTGCAGATCTGATGGCCGGTTTTGCGGTTGCGGCAGCTGCTGCACTGTTCGCAGTTAATCCTGCGCCGGCAAGGTGGACACAGGCCGCATCGCTTCCGCTTTTTCTTCCCGTTGGCACTGATGGCCGATGAAATCTCGCTCTGCATCTGCTGGTGTTCCGACGCACCCGTCACGTGAGAGAGCGCCCCGTCGGCGAGGAACACTCCTGCCGGCGTCATTATGAACAGCCCCGGGTGATATGGAAAACTCCCGCCCACTCCGCCGTTGCCAAGCAATGGGAAGTCCATCACACTGCCCAGCGAATCAGAAACCGAGACCGTCTCCATGTCCCCGCCCACACTGACATTGGACGGGTCACTGACAGGAAGCAGCATCCCCGCCCGTCGCAGGAGCTCAGCGGCCTGGGCGAGATGCAGGCCGCTCGGAGAGTCCAGAAGGCCGGACACTAACGCACCCCGGTCCAGTTTGGCATACCCGACTTGTGACCTGTGCTGGCTGGCAGTAGGGTGAGCTTTGACGCCCGCCGCCACCATAGAGCTCTGGGCAAGTCTGTTAGCATTCGCGACACTGGCCACAGCGGCGGCCGAGCAGGTCGCGATGTACTGCGAGAGAGCTCGTGAGCGCTTTAGGCTTTTGCTGAGTGGAGCGCTGATGATGCCGCTGCGGTTTCTCCGTTCCACCACCGGAGATGAGTCTTCGTCCCCGCAGCAGCTGTCCTGTGCCTCCTCATCCTCTATGGCTCGACTTCCCTCCATGGACCCTCCGCTGGCAGACATGGGCCACGGCGTGAGGGGGAGGGGGAGGGAGAGGGAGATGGGGGAGTTTAGGATGAGCAGAAGATAGAGTTGCAACGTTCCTACGAAGACCGAAGCCAAGATGAGATTGACGCGTGCACAGCAGGAGAATCGGACCACTGAAGCGGCAGCCCACACTAGTTGAGCCTCAAGAACATCTCACGGGTCCGTTCACTAAGGCCTGAGAATCCTAGAAAGGGAAGATAATGCACAGTGAGGTTAAAGCCAGAGTGGTTTGAATAAATGTATGGTACATGCAAAGAGGAATAATTCAGATTTTTCTTATGCTCACCAAGGCTGCATTTATTTGATCAAAATAGAGCAGTAGAAACACTGAAATTGTTACAATTTAAAATAACTGTTTTCTATTTTAATATACTTTAAAATGTTATTTATTTCTGTGATGCAAAGCTGAAATTTCAGTTCTCAGTGTTACAGACATGATTCTGATTGGGTGCTCAATTATTATTTTCGCCAAATTATTATTTGTGGGTCTTAATATTGCCATTGTTGAAAACTATTTTCCTGCTCATTTTTTTCTGAATCTTTTGATTAATAAAATGTTCAAAAGAACAACATTTACTTGATATACGAATCTTTTGTTATTTTTAATCTTATCAACCACAAACTTTTGAATGGTAGTTTATTACAGTTTCCACAAAAATAATAAGCAGCAACTGTTTTCAGAAATATTTCTTGATTATCAAATCAGCATATTAGAACAATTTCTGAAGGATTTGTGTGACACTGAAGACTGGAGTAATGATGCTGAAAATTCAGCTTTGCTATCACAGAATAAATTGCATTTTAAAATATACTAAAATAGAAAACAGTTCTTATGAATTGTAATAATATTTCAAAATATTACTGTTTTACAGTATTTTTGATTAAATAAATTCAGCTTTGGTAAGCATAGGAAACTACTTTAAAAAATAAATTAGGTTCCACTTTATTTTAAGGTGTCCTTGTTACACTATTTATACATTTAAGTACTGAGTAATATTTATTAACTACATGTACTTACTATATGGTTCTGGTTAAGATTACGGTTTGATTTAGGGTTACTTACATGTAATTATGCATAATTAATTGTTATTATAATAGTAAGTACATGTAACAAGGACAAACTTTTAATCAGTAGTGTATATCCAAACCTAAAGAACATGGAGAACACGTTACGTCAGCCTCACCCGTCAACCGCAAAATGAATTATCTGTGTGATTCCTCACGGCACAGCATCACACTTCATCCTTAACTGCTAAAAACCATTTTAACGTATCTAATTCTTCCGAAATAATCATGCCTATAAACAAATCGCATTTTATTTGTTTATTGTTTTGCCCTGCTGAAATAGGCGCAAGTTCATGGTGACAAATAATCTACTGCTCGCTGTGGCCTCATCTGACCCATTTTGATTCCTTAGCCAACATTTATGTTTCAGACATAATATCTGTCCTAGATATCTGATTTAGTGACAATTACACTTTGTTAGGTGTTCTTCCAAGGAACTGAAACTGACTGTGAAGCTCATGGCAAAAAAATAAAAGATTTTGTGCGGATATTGAATTGGACGGTTTGAGTCTGTTAAATTGTTATATTTCATAACCTTTATGTGCAAAAGCCCGTTCCTTGTGACAGCAATTCCCCTTCAGTGAGAGACCTCTATCAGGGTCCACAGGCAGTCTGTTCTATCACGAAACCGGAATCGTGAGCTCAAGCGCAAAGCCCCTGGGGTGAGCCGACAGTGAAATCAGGATGTCTAGGTGCAAGCTCAGCCGCACTGACACACGTACACACGCTAGTCAACGACTTAACATTTCAATTAACTGCCAAGCCACAGTAAATCATGCTACTGGTAATAATTAGAGGAGAAAAAAATAGTTTAGGTTGTGAGTGACTGCCCATGATGATGTGGTAACTGGCCATTCATTCATACAAGCATGCATGCATGAATGAATGAATGAATGAATGATGCATGTAAGGGAGAGTTGAGCTGGTTGTCACACAGGGAAGTTGTCTCAGTAACTATAAGGTGTTAAATGTTGGTTTCAAATATCTAATTCAAAATATTTTCATAAAAAATGGGTTGGGGTAAGTTGTCACATGTTTTAAATGGTATAACATAGTAATGTTGACTAAACAATGGTTTAAAACTACTGTACGTTTCCATTTTGATGTTTCATTAATTTTTGATTCATAACTGTTTTACTGTGTGACTTTTGTTATTTAATGGCAGATTTCATTGTGACAACCTACCCCATAGTGTGACAACATGCCCCACTACAGGAGCATGCTGTCACAATAGGTCAACATGTGTTAATATCAGCTAACAACAGAGGAAACTTAGCCCCCCCCCCCCTTTTTTGTAATAAAGTCTATAAAGTTTGTGAGTCTATAGTGATAACTAGCCCTGATCATTCCTTTGGGCTATTTCTTACTAATCTAAAAAATTCCAATAATTGGTGAATCCTATTGTATAAAGGTTGATTCAGTCATATTAAATAATATATCTGACCTGATTAAAACCATATGAGGCAGACTTTTACTGTAAGTTACCTGCCAAAACACTTCTACAGAGCACTCTATCCGTTAGCAAAACACATGACCATATCAATTACGATTACATCACATCCACATCAAGGAGTCATTATGGGAATAAAAATTTACTGCAGACAGGTAGCCCTCATCTGCAGGTAAACCAAGACAAAAGCTGCATCTACTGAGGGTTTCAGTAAATTATTGACCCAGCTTACAGATAAATAAGTTCCTAGCAACAGTTAAAATGCCCATTCAGCAATTGCCTGATGTCAAATGCATGTCAAACATATGAGGCTCACATGCACATGGAAATTGCTGTGTCCAGTATTGCGCCAGCCAGAGGGACAATAGTGCGACATAGAGAGATCTGGACATCACCAGGGAACAATAGCCAAACCTGCACAAATAGTCCAACTGTGGCTAAACAAGATGACCTGCTTATCAAGATCTACATGTACTGTCAAACAATCACCTCAATGAAACCCTTACCAGATCAATCCCAAACACAGACCTGGATTAACTGCATATATTCAGGTTAGATTATTTAAAGAATATGAATGCAAATGCGCACCACACACAAAAAGTTTGCATGTAACTCATAATGGATTAATAATAAACAGCACATATAACTTGCATTCATACTTACCTCTCTCCAAGAGGAATTCTGAATAATTCAGACATTCTCGCTCGGTAAATCCCTCATATTTTAATCCAGACAACCAGTAAAAACAGAAAATGTCACAATAGTATGTTTACAACAACAAACAAACAGGCTACCAGTAAATGCAACTATTCCGTGCGCCTATTTGGTTACGCGTGGCAAAGTTGCACCAATGCATCTAATGCATATGGCCAAATTGTCAAGCAGATGTAACGCCGATCATTTAGAAAGTAAAACAAAATCCCTTTTGTCTCATCTCGACCGATGTGTCTATGGTGACAGCGCGCGGTATGCGCCAACACGTCGCGTTGGTTAAGCACATTCCCTTATTATTTCACTGCCAACTTATTCATCTTGGCTGGATGTCATTGTAACTTTGAACAGTCTTCAACTAAGTCTCATTGCCCTCCCTTTGATAAACATAGGGAATCTGCATATTTGCAAACACAGGCGTCTTTTCATTCGCGCCGCTCGTGAGCCGAGGGGAGCGTTCCGACTGTCCGAGCGGTCCGGTGCTCTCACGCGCTGCGGAGATTTATATAAGAGAGAGAGAGAGAATAAAATGTAAAAGAGCCAAACGAAAGCAAATGCTCACCCGAACTGAATTATTCTCGCTGTTTCCTTTAATAAAGCCCAAGCACCGGCAGATACACGCAGAACGCACTTTGTCCGAGAGCGAGCGCGTGCGCTCCTCCAGCCTCTCGCGTCTCTCTATCCCACCTCCACATCCTCGCGCCCGGAGAAGAACATGCAAACACATTTCATAGATTTTTGGAGCTTCACACAAAAACCGAAGTGGACTTTCCGTCGGGGAAAAAATAAATAAACCTTAAAGAGGTGTGGATGAGCGCGATGGCTATCTGTCTCTCAGTACATATGAGAGCGGAATAATGAATGAAGTATAGTTTTGAGAGGGCTGGACACTCAGCCCATTGTTGACTCCATTCTTAATGGCTGTTGGCTGCGCTCGGGATTGATTTATTATATCAGAACTTTTGCACATTTACGCTTTCCAGGAACTTGGGGCTGATTGGTATTTTAATATGCAAAACACGGCTCCACCAATCACTCATCTGAAATATAATCCTTTTGGCTGCTCTGTTAATGAAAATAAAATGCAAATTGTAAATAATAATTGCACGTTCATGAAAACTAAATAATAATAACAATAAAAACAATTATTCCTATTATTATTGGTGTATTTTTGCAATTAGCATATTTGATATAAAACTGAATATTTAATCCGTATTAGGCTATTAATCATTTATGCATTAATTATTAAATCTACAGACATACATTCGTTTTTAGTAATCTTTTATTTTATTAATGTGTTTTTATGAATGCGTTTAAAATCATCACACCGTATTAGTAATCGTTTATTTTACTTAGTTTTATTATATTAATATTCACTTTTGATTAACTGTTTTATAAATAATTTCAAATCAACTTATTAATGTAATTAATAGGAGCAGCTACCCATATTGTTTATAGATTAAGTATCATTTTAAATGAATTATTTGAATTAATAATAGCTTAATTAATAGTTCATTTATTAATGTATTTAATATGAGTACCCATAAACTACCCCTAAAAATACATTAATTCTCTAACAGTCAGCATAAAAAGAGTCATTAATCTTTGTGAAGAAATCAAAGGGACTGGACTCTTTACCACAGTCGTCGTGTTTGCTGACTTTCTGTGACTGAGGAGCCGTTGTGCTGTGGCTCCATTTGTCCGTCAGTCCAGTCGCTCGCAGACGCTCCTCCTCGTCGCCGGGAGTCCACTCCACCTCTTGTGAGCGTCCTGTGTGTCTGGCAGGCGGCCAGCTGAAGTGTGGGGAAGTGACACCGCCAGGGCGGCAGAAATTTTCCTCCGTTTCGGGCTTCTTCCCAGTCGCAGACGGGCGAGCGTGCATTGGCTGGAAAGTGGAGCAGCTCGTCAGGGACGATCAATGCGGATCGATCAGCGCGGCGCTGCTGCTGGCTGTGGGTTTGACGGGGCTGCGTGTTACAGTCCTCCACAATTGCATTAACGGGAAAGTTTAGGCTTGAGTAAAATGACACTACTTTAGGGCTGTACTTCCCATCATGGTTTTTTTCCCATTTATCTGTATTCACAAAAGGCTAAACTCTATTCTAAGCGTATGGGATAAAGTTTTCACTTACAAGGCGTTGTGTAGGCTATACCATGGTAGTACTGTAAACAGATTAATATACCATGGTATTTAGGCGACATGTTCAGCACTTCAGAAATACGCCTATACCATCATGGTTGTGTCCAAAAATATCGTGATATGGGACTTAGAAATATACTATGATTATTCATATATACCATGGTATTTACATCACAAAAATATACTAAAAAGTACCATGGTAATGCTACTAACATTTTTTGGACACATACATGGTTGTGCTCAAATGTATGGATGTATCCGTATTCCATTTAAATACGTTTAAGAAATACCATGGTAGTTTTCTAAAACATGGTCTCATATCATATGTATATTGCTATATTAATATACAATATTGTTTAAAACACCTAACAGTACCATGGCACTACCATGTTTTTGGACATTCACCATGGTAATACCATTGTATTCTTGGAAGTATACTACAACTGTACCATGGTACAGCCACAGTACTTTTTTGTAAGGATTGGCACTCAATAGTATATATTTCAATGAATACCATGGTATTACATCACAGTTGTATCCAAAAACATGGTACTTGGGTAATTTGTACATGAATAGCATATTCACATATCACATATACAAGGCACTTGAAAGTACCTCAAATGTTTTATATAATTAATACATGCATCATAATTTATTATCACTTACAAATATAACTTCTTATATAATTAAAAAAATATATATATATACAGTGGATACGGAAAGTATTCAGACCCCTTAAATTTTTCACTCTTTGTTATATTGCAGCCATTTGCTAAAATCATTTAAGTTAATTTTTTTTCCTCATTAATGTACACACAGCACCCCATATTGACAGAAAAACACAGAATTGTTGACATTTTTGCAGATTTATTAAAAAAGAAAAACTGAAATATCACATGGTCCTAAGTATTCAGACCCTTTGCTGTGACACTCATATATTTAACTCAGGTGCTGTCCATTTCTTCTGATCATCCTTGAGATGGTTCTACACCTTCATTTGAGTCCAGCTGTGTTTGATTATACTGATTGGACTTGATTAGGAAAGCCACACACCTGTCTATATAAGACCTTACAGCTCACAGTGCATGTCAGAGCAAATGAGAATCATGAGGTCAAAGGAACTGCCAGAAGAGCTCAGAGACAGAATTGTGGCAAGGCACAGATCTGGCCAAGGTTACAAAAAAATTTCTGCTGCACTTAAGGTTCCTAAGAGCACAGTGGCCTCCATAATCCTTAAATGGAAGACGTTTGGGACGACCAGAACCCTTTCTAGAGCTGGCCGTCCGGCCAAACTGAGCTATCAGGGGAGAAGATTGCTTGACTTGAACCAGGTTTGTTTGTGAGCTCATTGATCAGACCTTTGGATCCTGAGTTGCATTATACCCTGAGTTCACCCTGGAGGACGTTCTTGTAGTATTGAGCTGGTATATCACGACAAGACGTCCCTGCTATGTGACAGATAACAGATCATCTCCAAACGAAGCCACATGATAGATCATTAAAATGGGCAAATAAATAAACAAACACTTGCCTATCCTTGTGGCCACATAATTCCCAGATAACTTTGAGACCTCAGCCCCCCTCCTCTCTGAGTTGGGGGGGATTGTGTGGTGGTGAGTGGGAAGAGGGGGGTGGATGAGGATGTTGGATTAACGTCACATGCTTCTCTCTGGCAGCCAGACACATGACCCGCTCCACAGGAGGGGATAAAACCCACTTGAAAGACGACGGCATAGAGACCGAGGGAGAGGAGAAGGGGGAAAAAAAGAGAAAGAGATGGAGCAAACGTCCAGTTTTCTCAGACACTGAGGAATGCTGTCGGCCTGCTTCTCGAACGCAGAAATACAGTAGACTCGTTCTTCTGTAGATGAGGCTGGATTATGAATGATTCGCGCGAACATAGACAGATCGGGGGAGCATTCCCTTCAGAAACAAACGAAATACACTGCCAGTTCAGTGGCTCAGATGTCAGGAGTAAATGACGACTGCTATGTTCATTATTACATCCAACAACAGAACACCTCAATCGCTTAGGAGTCATTCTTGTCTACATCTGCTCCAGCGGTGAAACAATGGCGGACTGATGAAAGCTAACTCAGGGCGGGTCTAAGGTAAGACACCAGTCCAGTCTGTGCTGAAATGCTACTGTCAATCAAACTATCGTGGGAGGGGCCTGTCTGTGTGACGTCACACAGACAGGCATCTGAGATCGGCTCGATTTGAGAAAGGGGTAAACATTTAACGAGATTTAAAAAAAAACACCGGGTGGATTTTTATCATTATAGGGTGGTTGCGTACACACACTGCCAACACACATTTCAGTTCAAACTACTTGTAAAAGTGCATGTAGCATCCTATGACCCCTTTAAAGGCTGTTCCAGTACGTATTCAGACCAGATGGTGGATCAGCACCTAGAAAGGACCTCCACAGCCCTGAAAGACAGCGGAGACCAGGACAACTAGATGAGCCCCAGATACAGATCCCCTGTAAAGACCTTGTCTCAGACGACCACCGGGACAAGACCACAGGAACCAGATGAGTCCTCTGCACAATGTGACTTTGCTGCAGCCTGAAATTGAACTGCTGGTTTTGTCTGGTCAGAGGAGAACTGGCCCCCCAACTGAGCCTGGTTTCTCCCAAGGTTTTTTCTCCATTCTGTCACCGATGGAGTTTTGGTTCCTTGCCGCTGTTGCCTCTGGCTTGCTTAGTTGGGGACACTTCATTTCCAGCGATATCGTTGACTTGATTGCAAATGATTGCAAAGATACTATTTAAACTGAACTGAGCTGGATGATGACATAATTTTTTAAAGCTGAAGTTCTAAGGGGCTATTCACTTAGAATGTGTTTTTGCTTTGAAAAACGCAAGACACAGTGAGTGGAATGGAAGAAAAAAGTCTGGAGACGCAATTTTTAAATGTTGAAAATTAAAAAATTGAGTGCCGCATTTTTAGAACACCGTGTCATGCACGAGATTCAGTGGTCAAAAACATCCTTCTAACATTTTCATAGAAAAACACTTGGAAGAGTAGAGCGCTGAAATGGAAAAACGCTTTCTGTGTGAACTCCCCCTAACTTTAGCATCACGTTTTTATAATGCTGCATCATGCACAAAAGACACAAGTGCTACGGCCAAACAAATCCATCTAGTGCATGTTTTCATAGAAAAAAAGATTGAAAAATAGTGCAGTGCAATACAAATCACATTCTGTGTGAACATCCCCTTATACACTCAAAGGGATAGTTCACTCAAAAATGAAAATTCTGTAATTAATTACAGACCCTCATGTCTTTCCAAACCTGTAAGACCTAAGTTCCTGCTGATGTAGAACACACATGCGCTGCACCTTGTTTAAGAGCAGAGGAATGCACAGGCATGCGTCACTGTACTCTCGATAATGGCGGAGGACAGTGACGCAGGAAGAGAAGGATTGTCGAATAAAGTCATTATTTTTGTTTTATTTACACACAAAAAGTATTCTCGTAGCTTTGTAAAATTACAGTTGAACCACAGATGTCACATGGACTATTTTAACGATGTTCTTACTACGCTTTTGGGTCAGAAAGTTCAGAAAGCTCTCTAACCCTTAATTTGTGTTCCGAAGATGAACGAAGGTCTTACGGGTTTGGAACGACATGAGGGTGTGTAATTAATGACAGAATTTTCAGTTTTGGGTGAAATATCCCTTTAAGTCCTGGCCACATTAAATGGGTCATATGATGTTTCTAAAAAGAACATTATTTTGTGTATTTGGTGTAATGAAATGTGTTTATGCGGTTTAAGGTTAAAAAACCACATTTTCTACATACTGTACATTATTGTTTCTACTCTATGCCTCGCCTTTCTGAAACGCGTCGATTTTTACAAAGCTCGTTGGTCAGAAAAGCGAGGTGTGCTCTGATTGGCCAGCTATCCAGTGCGTTGTGATGTATTTCCTCAACGACCAGCACAGATCAGCTCTAGGCATGACGAAGTGGATATCGTCCTCTTTTGGAAGGCCAAACAAAGTAGTTTCTCTTTCACAATGAAACACACAGCGTCACACACGGCGGCCTAGAGTGAGCGGCGACCAGCGGATTCGACGAAGGAGCTTCCGGCGGGCTTGTGGCAACTCCGCTTCGTCCACGGTGAAAGCCGATCTGGCGATCCACAGCGCGAAGTTGATGGGTTGACTCTTAACTTTTATAAAGAATATCTCTTTGGATTTGAGACTTTAGTCTTTGCAACTTTACAGATCTTCTTTATGCACCAAGAGCTTGTAACACTTCAAAGAGAAAGGAAAAATTGAAATCGCATCATATGACCCCTTTAATAAATATATTGGTAAATATGGTGAATATGCATGTTAAAAGTTTAACAAACTTGAATCAGGAGCGAAATTCGCATGGGGGAACTTTTTTACTCGCATGTCCCTCGCACAAAATTCCAGATCGTGTGGATTCTTATTGAGATGAGGGAGTTTTACCTGCGGATTTAAGGAATCCACATGATCAGGATTTGCGTGAGGCCAAAAAACTCAACGCAGAAAAAGAGCCAACGAAGATTTCACAACGTGTTTAAACTGTTCACATGCTGACCAACAGAAAGCTGCTTGGTTTGAAAGTCACTTCTGTGTAAAATGTGCTTCATACATCAATACATTGACAATAGACAATTTTTTTTGTTGCGAAAAATAAATTCACTAACGTGACCGCGCCTCTACCCTGTAGAAAGTAAATGTACAGCACTTTTAAGCTACATAAAACAGCTAAATATAAAACATATCAACATAAACCCACTAAATAACAGTTCGTGGGTATATATACTTTAGAACTGACTATAAATATCTCAAAAACACCGAATAACTTCTTAGTAAACATCCAAGATTGGGGTGTCCAGCATTTAAAAACCAATATGTGTATAAACCTCACACTTCCTGCAGAGCCAAAGAGGTGAAGCTGCCTCAAAATCCCTTCAAAACAAACTCAAGAGCATTGAACTGATACAGTGGCTCTATCTGGTGGCTGTAAGCGGAACTGCAGCAGGACGATCTCTGATTTCCTGTGTTTTGCAGCAGACCAGGAAGTAGAACACATTATCTCCCACATCCTGTTTTAAAACTCTGGCCGTTATAACCCTGCTTACTGAAAATAGAGCGTGAAAACACAACCCTGACAAAAAGGGTGAACATTTCAAATTACATTTATTCAAAATGTACATCTTCATCGTACAGCAAAATACACATGGCCTCCGAATTACACATCATGATAGAAATTATATTTCTATGCTGTTTTTAAATGGAACCTGGTTTAGTTTTACACCTAATATAGTAAAAACTACACAAATGTTCAAGTCATAATTACCAAAATGTTCATCAAACTGTGCGTAGTAGCTCTGACCCCCTCTCATCCACATTCATCTGCATTGTAGTGCCAAGTTATTTTTGAGTACATTTAAAGCACATTTCAATGATATGGTTTGTGTTAGAGGCAGAGAGGAAGACCAAGTGTAAAACTGCATGTTTACAGGAAATACAGTATGTTTGCTGATGCATGTCTGCAGTGCTACAGGAAGCCCTGGTGTGAATGAGATGCATTAACATTGAGAATTACAGTAATTGTAATATTAAATCCTCATCGCCAGTGGATGGAAAACACTGATGCAAACACACACACTCACTGAGTATTTAGGGATTTTTCTTCTTAATGATCAGAGGTCCGACATTATCACCAGTTTCCTCATTGTGTTTGGTGTGTGCGCCGTCACAGTATGGAAACTGTCCAGGGAACAAACAAATACATACAATTCACAACCACACATGATGATCATTCACAGAGTGTGATGGCGTATCTGTACGCTTCCTGCGGTTTTAATGTTTAAACTTTGCATTGGTACATCTGCAGGAAGCTCTTCTAGATCACTATGGTGCTTCAGGATATGACAAACAGTGACATGAGGGTGCATAAATGAGAGAAATAACAATTCTGAGGGAATTATACCATTAACCCTGTAAAGCCTGACATATGGAATAATGGCCAAAAAAAATAAAATCACCGTTTTTAAATGGAACAGTGTATTGAACCTTTAGAGAAAAGTCTGCATATGTATTTTTTTGTTGTTGAATATCATATTTGATACATCAGGATTTGTATGGCTAATATAATATGATATAATGAGATTATGGAGCTCACACTTGAGGAAGAAGGGAAAAAACACCTCCATGTTATTCAGAAGTTCTAACTGCAAAAAAAAAATGTCTTCCTTATTATTTTTGTCTTACTTTCCAATCTTAAATGAAGATACAATTAAGAAGCAAAATTACACACGTGAACATGTTACAAAACATTGTTTTTTGAAAATGTTATCAAAATTAAGTGACTTTACGCTTAAAACAAGACAATCAGTCTGCCAATGGGGTTAGAAAAATAAACTTGCTTTTTCTTTGAATTAAGTTTATTTGTCTTGACAGACATTCTTTTCTTGTTTTAAGCATAAACTCAATTTTAATCAATTTTATATCTATGCAAGAAGAAATATCTTTGTTTATTTTTTTTTACAGTGAGAAAATTAAGCACAGACATGCATTTTGGTGAAGATGTTATTTATATGGCTAAAAGGTAACATTAATTTTTATGTAAAACAATGATTTTTTTCCCCATAAAAGTATAACAGACTACTTGCATAAAATACTTATAAATATCATTTGTCACTCCTAATAATTTGTCTTAGTAAGATGATATTTAAATGCTTAATTTTATGATCAAACACTGTAGTTTTTAATTGTGGGCCAAAACATGTAATCAAATGCAATACAATGACGATTAAGAGATGAACAAATAAATGTTCCTCAAAAGCCTGATATTTGATATTCTTATTTTAACATGATTATGATTGGATAATTGTTTTAGTCCATTAAACGTTAAAAACAAGAAACGTGCAAAACATCCTGAAGGGGGGTGTTTTTAAATTATACCAAAAGGCCTTTTACTTGCTAAATACGTACAAATGAACATTCAGACAGAAGACATGTACAAGATTGTTTATAACAGGCTTTTCAGTCAAGTTTTAATCTTGTTAATAATTTAGAGGCCTTAAAATTCATGCATCAAATTTTTAAAAATGGTTCATACAGATGATCTCCAAACAGGCCATTGGGATGAAGAATAGCCACACCATCCTATTAATATGAACTCAGACACGTGATCCACTGAGGAGGTTTCACTCACCTTCTTGGACCTCCAGCAGCGGCAGTAGACGGCCTTGTTGCCGATGTCCTCCATGTCGAAGCTGTGCACTACTTTGGGGCTGTCTTTGTTGATTGACATGTTGACCCTGCTTTCGGGGCTGCTCTGTGAACTGAAGTAGCGTGTCAGCAGGTAGGTGCTCAGAGCCGCGGCCACTGCAACAGGAACGATGGTGATCAGCTGATCTGTAAATGTACACATGAGGAGGCGCTCGTTTTTGACAGGGCCGGGAGCTTCCTGCACACTATTCTACGAGCATTGCTATTTTCTAGAAAGATTTAGTTTAATCTTTGGGTCAAGCCCAGCCATGTTGAAACTGGATTTTGGACATGATAACCTAGGTGGTTATTAAATTCCTTTTGTTTGTTCAATTCCATTTTAATGGATAATATAAATGTTAGTAATCAAAAAGCATTTCTAACTATTTGAAATTATGAAATGTAAACAAATTGAACAAAAATGGCCCCATGGAATCTATTTTTTTCTTCCAAATTCTGTTTTATTTTTTTCAGTAGGCTAATTTCTTGAAAATGTTTAAGTAATAGTGCTTTTCATATATGAACTTGAAAATGGGCAAAGCACTTAGGTTCATTTCCAAGTTCAGAGAAAAGTAACCTTGCATTTGACATCGCTAAAAAGTCCTATTAAGGACAAAAATCATAACTGTTAAAACATTTCACAATATCCACTTGCCCAAAACCATACTTCATTATTTTTTCCCCACAACAGTTAGTGTTTCCAAATGTTATTTGTAACAATAAAGGCTTTGTTTATTAAAATACATTTGTTAAAATGTCTTAAACATGATTCATCCATTACGTGTCATTTGGAAATTGTGCCTTTATGAAAAATTACAATGTAAATTTGGTCCTCCACACCTGGAGAAAAAAACTTACACTGTTATAACTATAACTAATAGTAAAGTAATTTTGACAGTGGCTCTCATGCAGCTTATATTAAGCAATTATTTCACAGGTCTGAATACCGCACTACCTCAGCATTAGAAATAAGTGAATCTTCAGCTCAGAAAATAAATCTGAATACTAGTTTGTGGTCATATTCTAATTTCCCTGGTTCCAAATCATTTATTCAAACCTACGATTTTCTATCTTCGGTATCACTCATTTATATATTTCTATTTCATACAGCCTGATCCAATAGCGCCATGTCATTTCTATATTATTTTCTCTAATTAAGAAAATCGACATGAATTTAAATTTCACCGAAACACACCCGGTAGTTATTAATTAACAGCTATACAACCAAAGCAATGCTTCCCTTTGGAACAAACTACTTTAGACAAAATAACTTTACAATTTGATATCAGTAAACCAACAAATTCAGTGTCCAAACAACAGAAACACAGTCTAGTCTACAGCCTTTAAATCAAATCAATGATTTGCAAATAAATATTACATGATCTGTAGCACACATTACGCTTATACAGCTTTAAGTGCACTATAAAACACATGCAGTACAGAATAAAAGTGTTTATTGGCATTATGAGGTGTATTTGTGTGTCTGGTCTTCAGTGTCATGTGAGCTAAACTCATGAAACTTAATCAGCACTAAAATATAGTCACGACATACTGTATGTCAACACAGACACAGACTGGCTAAATCCAAAGAGTCTTTCATCTCAGACTGTAAATCCTGGTCAGGTGAGAAGGATTCACTCTGACTCTATTAATGGTAGTCCTACTGATTTCCGCGAATCGGTTCTTGAGAACGAATCGTTTCGCAATTCTTTAACTATCATCAAGTGATCACTGACATCTCGTCGTGGCATATTATAAAGCTAGACTAAACTGTCATACTGTTATTACGTTGTAAACGTATTTTAACACGTTGTTTTATTTGTGAATGTGGACGAATCGTACCGACAGATTCTGTTCAAATGATTCATTTAAAAGATTCGACTCAAAACAACTTTTCGTTCATCGCTGTGTTTCCCGAGATAGCAAAACAATTGAGTTTGTCAGGCTCATGATCTGCGCATTACAAATGCTGCAGAGACATGGCAAGAAGATGCTCAGCTTTATTTCCTACTAAAACAGTGCATTCATTTAAATATCCGACATGCATTATCAATCAATCAATCCAAAAAATACCTGCAAACCTATGACCTAATAACGCGTGCGTGCAATAAGCGCCATAAAACTCATCTGTACTGTATGCATGTTAGAAAGCATAACCTAACATAAACAATGTATAATCTGAAATGAACACAATTTTCCGATCCACAAGAATCAAACATGCTGACAAATATGTGTTGATGCTTTATGGAATTGCTGCAATCCATGAAGGTTGCAATCGGCTTTATATTAAATTAAAACACTACTCTTACCTTTAGAAACCTTAAAACCCGGTATTAACCCGGGTTTAGTCAGAGCTGAAAGCCCTGGCACTTGAGATGCCATGACGGTACAGTTGTTTGGACTTCCAAGTTAAAGGGCACCACAAGGTCTGAGACGCTGAACCCGAGAGGCGCCGTCACTGCGGAAACTCTGCGTGATTGCGTCACTGGATATCTGACCAATGGCTGGAGAGCGTGACTCACTCGCACTGCTAGCTCAGATTACTGTAAACATGGGGCCCAAATCCCTCTTTACTGTGCAGCAGGCCGTTTGGTAGCGAGGGTTTGTTCATTATACACTTTTTAACCCTGATATTTAAATGTTTCATAATATAACATTTTACATAAATATCAAACCTTTAAAAGAACGTTCACTTGAACCTGCCTGAAAAGATTTAAATAAAAACTATTTGTCCCTGAACTATGGACAACCAGTAATAACTTGGTATATAATACAAATAAATTAATTTTCTAATAGCCCATTTAACACAAAGCATTTCATGATACCCAGTTGCACAAAAAATACTTCATTTATTCTTTCCATAATATTTCTGGATGTCACTTCAGATAATAAAAGGCTTTGTTTTCAGGGGGAAAAAAACAACAACATTTATCCATTAGGTGCCATTTGGATTTTTTTTAATGAAAAATGGCATTTATGAAATATTAAAGAAAATTACACATGGTGCAATTGTTTCAGTCATTTTAAGCACTTTGGTCCTCCACACCAAATGCGGAAAAGGCTCCTATAAAAGGTTTATGTACAACTTGCTGCTCAAAAGTCCCTTGCAACTTTGTTTGACTATAGTACAGTAACTGTGACAGCGGCTGTCATGAGGCACATATTAAACAATCATTGCACATTTGTTTTCTATCAAAAGAACCACCAAATGCAATGGACAAGCAGAAGAGATCAGAGAAATTTTCCTTTTTCAACAGAGGTTTCAAAAGACTTGAGGATTAAAACCCCAAGAGGACAAAGTTCCTCACGTGCAGTGTTTATATCAAGACCTGCATCACCTACATCAGGAAAAACCATGCAGACACAAAGCATTTCAGACTTTAGTAATCATTTTATTACACAGTTTTAATCAACACACAAAGCTCAACGAGCCTGTCAGGAAATTAAATATACAGAAGTTTGTCTGTGAGGAGTTTGTGTCCTCTCACCCAGGGACCCAATCAAGTTTGGCTGAACCATGTTAGCATCTAATTCAACAAGAGCAGGAAAATGAAGAAGAAAAAGCAACCTAAGAGTTACAAGGGTGGTTTGGGGGAGAGAGAAGAAAAAAAAAAAAAAAAAAAACAATAAGATGCATGTTATAGAGACTGCTTTAAATAACTGGTCCGAAACCCATGTGGTGAATGTTTGTGAAGCTGGTCATGGCTAAGGAAAGGGGTAGAGACAGTCTTTGCAATGACAAATGGAAACAAAATATATATATTCATAGTTTTCAAGTCCATTAGAATACTCCGGAGGAGAGGACAGGTCGTCCATTTTCGTTTAATTAACTGCTATGATTTTAAAAGAATTCCTTATAGATTTTATACAAAAAGATAGCCAGCATACCCCTCCCTTCTCTGCAATAAAGAAATAAAGAAAGAAAAAAACTTCCTGATCCAATGTACAGTTGGAAGCCCAGGAAATGGAAATGAAATAGTAAACTGTAAAAAAACATATCCCTCTATGTCCAGACCATCACAAATTGCAGAGAGAAAACAAAATGATAATAATATAGCCCTCCCTTCCCAGTTCTTAAAAACAACAAGGAATGCTTTTAGAGCCATAAACATCTTCTACAGCAAAATTGATATGGACTGATCCTAAGCAGCGGGTACGTCGCAATAGCAACGGAGAAGGTAAAGCAGGAGCTGTGGAGTGGAGGTTTGCATTTGGGGAGGAAAAGGGGCTACAGTTGTAGTTTGAGTATGTACACCATGGCTGCCAGAGGGCTAAGAGTTGGGGGGTGAGGGGAGGCGTGGCTTAAAGAAAGCACTCCAATGGAAACCAACAAGATCTGTTTTTTTCTTAAGCTTTTTTCTTTTATCTTTTGAACGTTCAAAATCTCCCCTAACCTTAAGATGGAGAGCTGTAATTTTCTCCCATCATGATTCTAACTCCAAAACTACATCGCATACTTTTGTGTCCATTCCCGAGCTATTCTGTTGTACCTGTGAAGGAAGAGAAATAAAAACATTACCATCGTATGTCAGAAAGGTATTTGCATGACACATACGCTCTTAAAAATAAAAACTCCAAAAGCAAATAAAAGAACCATTTTGGTTCCCCAAAAAACATTTCAGTGAGCAATGATTAAAAGAACTATTATTTTCCTAGTGTGAAGATCTTAAATATCTAAATCTTTTTTCACTACATAAATAACCTTTTGTACAATAGAAGGATTCCAGTAGGGCCTTTCACAACGCCGGAACTGGGTGCGATTTTAGTACCGGACTGCCTTTTTTGAGAACTAAATTAGCTCCTACTCCGGAGCAGGGTCTAACCAGCACAACTGGTAATAATCGTGACGCAAGTAGACATTGATTGGCCAAACGCGTACGAAAACACCCTCATCCACCATGATTTAAAACACTGTGTAAACATTGTGTCAACTTATTTCGCAAGTATGGAGAACAGCGATAGATGGACGGATGCTGAAGTGCAGGCGCTTGTAGCAAATGTAGCACTGCCAGTTGTCGTTGGAGATTCTTAGTCCTCCTTTCCGTTCTTTCAATCGCTTTACGTATACGTCAACTTTCCATGTCCATTATTGTGAATGGGGGTGGGTCATATGACCCCGGTATGGGGTGATACCGGGGGTCATATAGCCTATTCCTACATTACTTGGAAACACCTTGATGGCTAACGTCAAAATCGTAATTGCACAATATGCAAAATGCTAGACTTCATGTTAAATAGTTTTCATAGGTTAGTACTCAAGAGTCTGCACTCAGTTTGTGATATTCCTGTTACACAGTCTTTTAGAGTAAACAGTAGGAATATGCAACAATACAGTTAGCCCAAGGTTCAATAAATACCTCAGTTTTTTTAAACACAGTTTTCAGTTTGGTTCTGATGGTTTGGCACAACAGATTTCTTTTTAGCGATTTTAAATGCTATTTAAAAAAAAAAAAAACTAACTCCACTATACTTTAAGTAAAACTCCAGTACATTGTTGTACACTGTAGAAAAACATGGATTATCACATGTCTACCTTAAATTTATTTTGAGAGAAGTATAATTTTTATAGATTGGCCATTATTTAGTGCTATGAACACAATGTCGGTTTCATTCATACTGGATAGATACTAAAGGGCGCCTCTGCGCAGAAAGTCCACATATGCATCACCAAAGAAATAGAGCTCAAGACTCCAGGAAATACCAAACACCCGTTTTCTCATCTCAGCGCACGACTCATGGACACACAAACAGAGCCAGTTTGGAGAGAAATTTAAAAAAAAAATAAAATAAATAAAACACCCCTGAAACCGCTCTGATTGGTTGAACTCATCTTTTTCTGTTGCTTGTTTACTGCGCGTGGACAAGTCACCAGGTTTTTGCATAGTTTAGAGTGACAAATCGTACCAGCGTACTTGAAGGTCAAAATGCTTGAAGGTTCTTCATGGAACACAAGTGCCTGCACTTCAGCATCCGTCCATCTATCGCTGTTCTCCATACTTGCGAAATAAGTTGACAATGTATACAGTATGTTTACATGGCATTTTAAATCATGGTGGGTGAGGACGTTTTCGTACGCGTTTGGCAATCAATGTCTACTTACGTCACGATTAGTACCAGTTGTGCTGGTTAGACCCTGCTGCGGAGTAGGAGCTAATTTGGTTCTCGAAAAAGGCAGTCCGGTACTAAAATCGCTCCCAGTTCCGGTGGTGCGAACACGCCGAAAAGTGGGTAGTTCCACAATTAGTTCTGGTACTATGAAAAGGTTCCTGCGGTGCGAAAGGCCCTATAGATGCCAATAAAGAACTCCCCCTCCCCCCCCCAAGTTTAATGCAAACAACCTGTTGTTGAAAGGTGTGGCAGCAAAAACTATAATGGAATTAAACATTAGTGTGGGAAAGTAAAGGGCCAAAATAATTTAGTTTCTGAGCCCTGAGCATGTGTACGTGAAGAAAAAGTTATCTAAAAGAAAAACATGAATTGTTTCTTTGACACAGTCAATAGCCCTCTTCATGTTTTAAAGGAAATTTGGAAAAAGTTGGGCATCGCCAATAATTTACAATCTATTACAAAGGAACTCTTCAGTATTCCCTTGAGTTCTTACAAGATCCAGCCCTCATCCTCAATTGCTTTTTCCACCCACATTTGCCAATAACACCAATTTAAAACAATAAGGATCTAATGGGAGTCTGCTGGCATTTAATTCTCTTTTCTGTTGAATTTGATTAGAATCATCCTCCAGTTCAAATTATTACACCCAGCTCAGTCTGGTATAGATAAAACAAAACACTGTTGCTCGTTGAGCTATTGAAGCCTGCTTTTTGGAATTACAGCAAGCTGAAAACATTTTCACTTTTGCTATGTCTCTACTTCAGTCAACTTCAAAGCTCAGCAACAGTAAAAGTAAATTATTCACAAAACAGGACTTCAGAGTGTCAGCGTATAAACACAACATCCCCAGGGAAGAAAGTTGACAAGTGTCAAAACAGGAAACTGCATAGACATTAACGTAGCTAATAATGCAAATGACTTTATGACAGCACCTATGGGGAAGAGCATTAGGGCAAACAGTGCGCAGTACAGATCTGGTGCAGAAGAGGACACTCACTTTTCCCTGTCAGTCTTGTAAATGCGGGCGATCTCAGGTACTAAGGGGTCGTCCGGATTGGGGTCACACAGCAGGGAGCAGATGGACAGGAGAACTGAAGGGCAAGATAAAAACATTAAAAGAACAATATACTTGTTTAAACAGCTGTCATCTTGTATAAGGACACTCATTTCTTAAATATTTTAGGCACCAAAAACCTGTTATAAGCAGCTTAAACATTACTTTTTATTCATGAAAACATTAATAAAAATATAATCAATGTAGTCAGAAAATACTCTCAAAAACACTGAAATGTCCCTAACATCGCCACTAAACATGTGAATAGCAGCAAATTAATCACATTCAGATCTAGCTGCATGCATTTACATTTAGACACTGCAGTAAATTCAGAAACTCAATATTCTCCAATATCACTATCATTTTGCTTGTGTTAAAGATTTTGAGTTTTAAACTAAAGAACGAGATTATTATTAGAAACAATTCTTATGCAGCAAATGTCATGTCAATGAGAATCCAGCAGCATCTTACACTCTCCTCTGGTGTAAAAGCATAACATATTTCAATTTGTGTTTATTGCCATATAAATCTTCAAAGACTACGTCATGGCATATACAATCAAACTAAAATTTAATATATTTAAAAGGTAACAATTCTGCACAACAATGCTACAAAACATTTTTAGTTGAACTTTGAACGAATCTGAATACAAAATAGGATTCTGGGTGCTACATTAATTAAAGCAGTTCTCACAGCACTTGAGCATTCAAACATCACATTTTAATATTTTGTCTACATGCTAAATTTTGTGAGTAACAAAATCCTACTAAAACCCCATACATGCTACATCATGGGAAGATGTAGACTGAGGAATTAATTGCCATAAAACAATCTTTGAAAACGGAGGTGTACCTTTGGAGATGGTGAGTGCCGGTGACCACTGTGACCTCAGAATATCCAGACAAATGCTGCCATTGCTGTTGATATTTGGGTGATAGATTCTTGTGGTAAATGCAACCTGAGAAAGGAGCAAGAGAAAAATAAGCACACAAATCACAACCTTTACAAGCTAAACAGTAAAATAACAGCCAACTCTAGAACAGTTCCTAGTAACTGAAGATTGTAATCTAAACACAAGCACTGGCTTCCTTCGAACACATTCCTTAAATTCATCAACAAGATTCCCTGCATTCTACAACTGCATATGATATACAGTCATGATAAGATGAATTATTTGAATATATGTGGGAGGAAAAAACATTTCCTTATGTCATGACAAAGAATGTACAGGTTGGTAAACTGAGGAAACAAAGTGACAAATAATTAAGCAGCTGAGCACGAAGCTGTGCCTGAGTCAAACAGGTGTGGATGTTACTGACCTTTGGTGGTTTGAAGGGGTAATCTGTGGGAAAGTGTATGGTCAAGAAGAACACTCCGCCCTGGTAAGGACTGTCATTCTGTAGGGTAAACACATATGAATGAATGAATAAATGTATATATAGTATTTCAAAAATAATCTATATTTATATATCAACAATATCATGCTCCAAGGGATTCCTGTAATGTTGCCATCTACTATAGGAAACACAAAAAATAAATACTTACTGGTCCCATTATTGTAGCCTGCCAATGAAACACTGAAACGAGACAAAAAATAAAAATAAAAAATTGTCAGGGAAAGCCTATATCAGTCACACCATGTTCATGATGTCTTTGTACAACTCAAAGAGGTAAAATTTTTGCTTGCCAGCTTAGAATCAGTCTTGTCAGAATTAAAAGAGCCCACTGAGGAATACAGTATAAAATATGATGAAGCAAATTTGGGTACAATTATGTTGTCATATTTCTGTCAAATCTCTGAGGCACTAAGTAGGTCAGATGGTTGTATGAGTCAGTTTAATAAAATAGCGACTCTTTTAAGGGAAGCTATTTATGCTATTTATTGGTTCAAACAATCCGTCAACTTGTGGCTGAGCTTCACGCTAAATATTGATTAGCACCATCTATCACAGGACACAGAAAAAATGATCAGACAGGAAAAAGCACTTCTGACAATGTGTTTGAAGCTACTATGACAGTCAGTTTCTATAAGTGCTGTATACATAAGACCCCTTGAAGAGCTGATTCTATTAAACAAGGCAATAATAATAATAATAATAATTAAAAATATATATCTCAGCATACCAGTATTACCATACACCACAACATACCAGTATTTCTCCTCAAACTTAACTTACATACATATAGAGGCCTCTACTATATTTTAACTATACATTATAATATGGTTGATAAAGAAGATCTGAAAAAGGAGGGACATGACTCACCCCAGAAGAGAACTTGTTCGTTCAAACAACTAATTATATCTATAACAATTTTATTTTTCCAAACATGCTAGTTTGTTATTGCATTGTTCTAAAACTTACTGAATTCCCTTAGTGTACCTACAACCAATCAATTCTAAAAAGAAATACAAAACCCAAGCTAATTGAAAGAAAACAAGTTGACAAAAACATTACATTCTAGATTTGGTGATAATATAGAATAAGAGTATTTTTATTACACTAAAAAAAAAGGAAAAGGACAGTAATTTTTGACAGAAACACCAAATTAAGTAAAGGATTTTCAGCACAGCAAGAGTTAAAAGTTGATTTTGTTACACAATCAAAGCTGAAATTACCAATGATTTTCTTCAAAATACCAGTAACTTGAATTTGAAAAATAAACTCACTAGTTTATCAAATTCATTGGTGGGCAAAGCAAGTTACTTACTGTCATCCCCTACTGGGCCCGCTGAACACTGAGCAGGTGGGTCACGGCCCAAATCATGCAGCTCCTGCAACACACCAGAAACAAAATTTGCAGTTTAAAAACGGTTCCCCTATTAAAACCAGCAAGTAAAACTCTGAATCACCTGTCCCGATCCCTTCCTGAAACACCTGCAGTGCATGCTGCTGACAATGAAGCACCAAAATGAAACTGAGAAACTGACACCGAAACGTAATACTCCAAATATCTTTGCATTTGATAAAGTTACAGTAAAATACGTAGAACAAACGCAATGGATGGATAATTTAGAGAATAAAGAGGTCAATATAAAATCAGACACATAACAGTCTGTGTAATGGAGTTATTGCTGCTGTAATGACATGAGAGGTGACCACAGCTTATGCAACTCAGTCTGTTCTACTGAAACCCAAAGTACTGAAACGTTCAAATTGTCAGAAAAGCACAATAAGGGGTCTGAAATGCTTTGGACCACGGTCATATAGCCAATTTGCTTGCGCCACGAGCTAACCTGAAATCTCCAGATACATAATGTGCGAGTTTGCCTATAAAAATTAAACAGAAGCACTAAAGGACCAAATCTTCAAACAGATATACAATATAAACAACACCACCAATACATTCTGAAAATGATTTAAATCATTAACGCGATGGCAAACTGAGGCTAGATGCCTCTAACGTTACCGGAGCGGTTAGCCAGTCAACAACCCAAACCAACACGAAATAAATTAGTATAATATAATAATACCGTACACTAATATATTAATAGCAAAAATACAGTAAATTGATGAAGTTGGGGTGGATATAAACGATCTTTGTTCAAGGTTTCCAAATGGGCCTTTAGCATTGGTGGCAACGAGGGGTTAGCATGCTAACACGTTATCATGATCTTACATTAATCCTCAAGCGAACCATTTCAACCCTACTCCAATTTCAATTGACTATTTATATCCGTTTAAGATAAAAACGAGAAGGGAAATACAAAAGCAATGACCGAATACACATTTTATATCAGTCACACACAGTTCGACGGAGGGTCGCTAGCTATCATGCTAACCGTTAACCCGGACCGAACCGTCGAGCTTTACTACACTTGTCATCCCACCAGTGTCACACTTTACACGTTTAACTTCTCAATAACATCCCTTAAATCGCCTTTCCGGCGTAAATGAGTAAGGATGGTGCGTTTTCAATGCGGAATAGGGCAATGGCGCCCGTGACTTCCTTCTCTTACCTTGTGGATTCTTTTCAGAGCCATTGTTGTGCTGTTACTGCTGTCAAAAACACACAAAACCCGCCTTATACTCGATTAAAACAGCGCTTCGTCAATTTCGACGCGACCAACCCCTCCGGTGTCTTAATAAGGGACGCCTTGGGGTAATAATTCAGTCGGTGTTCTGTGTGTGACGGAGCCGGTTGGTGTAATTTGAAGGCGAAACTGAAAGGTGGTGCTGGTAGCGGTTCGGTCTTCCTCCTGCAGCAGCGGCAGAGAGCAGCTACCGCATCACGCACACTGCGCTACTCTAATCAGATCCTTCCGCCAATGGACGCAGTCGCCGGGGACAGATTGCGCGCCGACGCCAGTTGCTAGATAGTGCGGTAGTGAATCACGAAACTGATGCAATAGCGGTGCCAAGATGGCGGATCGCGCTCCGCGACTTCAACGCTTATAGAGCCCAAATGAAAGCCTGTATTTGATCGCTTCCATTTCAGAGCCGACAAACGAGCTTGATGGCCAGCTCAGTAATAGAATGGAGAGAATAAGGAGGATATAAGTATGATATGTCGAGATGTTTACTGTAAGTGGTGTTCATGCGACTCATATTCATATGAGCAAAACAGTTTATTCCATTCTAACATGAATGGCAATAACACATATACCCTCGTTCAGAGGAAGTTTCACCAGTGCGGAGGGATATTTGATATTTGATAATGGTTTATCGCGGCAAAATACGAGATTATCGTCCATAGATGAGGGCATGTGTGCGTAAATAAGAACCACTGCTGTACATACATTTTTATCATTTGAATTTAATTATTTTAACCATGCCACATTAATCTGTATGCACTTTACAGGTATGTTTTTATGTTTATTCCTGCATGACCTCTATAGCTCAAATTCAAGCATGCATATTTTTCCTTAAATCATCTATCTATCTATCTGATTTGACTTAATCTGATGCATTGTAATTATTTATTGCCTTGCCTGTTTTTGTTCTCATTTCTAATATTTGATTGTCCAAACAATTAATAACAAATATTTTAGGCTGCTTTTGTCTGATCCTCACATAATCCTGATTACACAAATCCAAAAAAGATCAAACTATCGGCCTATATTCCTAAAATACCTTGTTTCATTGTGATATCTTTATCCCGTTGCACAGGTTTATGCCCTCTACCCCATTCAGACAATCACATTCATTGCAAAAAAAAAAAAAACGGTGGAATAGAACAGAACAGTACTGACACACTGGGTTCAAAGGAAATTGTCAATGGTACAGCACAAAATAATGCTGATTCTTAATACATGGCAACAAAATAGTGCAAAATAGAGAGTGATGAAAGCATAACATTTCAAAATGGACCAGGTGGTATATTTAAAATGTAGGCTACTGTGTTGATGTAGTAGTGGTAAGGTAAGGTGAATTTGATATAGAACTTGCTATTGAATGACTATCCTACATTATTTACATGCAACTCTGTGGAAATTAAAAGAATAACATTTTATTACCATGGCAGCCTACATGTTCAAAAGTCCATGGTATTACTATGGTGCAGTGCCAAAAAACAATGAAAACCGAGAATTGTTTTGTACTTATGTTAATAAAACAGCATTCCAAAATGGTTTGTTTGATAGATAGATAGATAGATAGATAGATCTGTTCTTATAACATTCACAAAACAGTAAGATTCCTACGCCGCCTTCTGACTTTCTACGCCATGAAGCATTAAAAAGACTGACGTCAATAAAGCAGCAACAAGGCCTGGGTGCGCTCGCGCTCTCTCATCTCGTGCGCAGGGAAACCCCGAATCAGCCTCCGCGTGATGGCAGTATGAGGCAGTCCCTGCAAGCCAGAGAGTGGGAGTTCCTGTCTTCGCCATGTCGGGGTGGTGCTGCAACGCGCTGAGGATACCCTGAACTGAGCAGAAGTCTCCCAGCCCCCCTCCTGCTGCTCCATCCATCCATCCATCTATCTGTCTACCCATCCGCCCCCACACGGCACCAGGCAGAGTCCAGCATCTCCAACATAACAGTTTCCCCGGATCAACTGCGACACATCTTCCCCTCTGACCGACGGTGGACGGAGGAGAGACGCACCAAGTGATGCGGCTTCTGCAGCCCGCGCATCCCGCAGCACCGAAGACCGCACGCTCACCCGTTAGGAGTAGGCGCACTTTCCCCGTTATCCACAACAACCCATGAGAATGTCCAGCGCAGACATCGTGGGTTTAAACCCTACCGACCGCGTGATCAAATGTAAGTGCATTGTGTTGTGTACCTTTTTAATCGTACTCAGCATTTTTAAGCATGCAGCGTTATGTACGATTGTGCATGTTTCGCGATGATTCTGTTTCTGTAATGATGCGCTTTAAGGAAAATCTTTTTATCGAATATTTTTTGAAAACCTCATATGTCATGCATCGATGATTGATCAAAGAATGCTTCGGATGGTGTGTTTGCAACCAAAAAACTCTTTCCATTATATGAGATTGGCAACCCATTAAGGTTCCCTATATGCTCAGCGATGCTGATGCAGGAGAGGTATGGCAAGCCGTTTTAACATGTTTTCCCTAAAACGTACATTTTTTAAGTTAGCAAATTAGTAACAAGTGCAAGTTTTTCAAGAAAATACAAACTCAGTTTTTACATTTCAAAATTTCAAGTTTAATTCAATGTGTTCCTTAATATTTCTATGTAATTGTGAAATTTAGTACCACTTTCTGAGTGAAAATTGTTTTTCAGTGTATTATTTATTTTGTGCAACTAGTCACTTAAAAGCAGGGGCGGTTCTACACCACAGTGACCACAGGGGGCACAAATTTAAAATTAATCTTAACCTACTTTAAAGGGTTAGTTCACCCCAAAATTTAAATTAGCTAAAAAATTACTCACCCTCAAGTCATGCTAGGTGTATACGACTTTCTTCTTTTAGCCGTGTGAGACACTTTTTTTATGGATAGGTGCTTTTTATTTAACTTCTTTTGGACTGAATCACTGCAACATATAACTCTGACTGGATTCGTCTGAAAGAAGAAAGTCATATACACCTAGGATGCCTTGAGGGTGAGTAATTTATGGGCTAATTTTCGTTTTTGGGTGAACTAACCCTTTAAGCATTATTCATTCAGTCATTTTTCAACGTCATGTATCACTGCAATCTCTACAAGTAATCTATAACAATTTCAACAAAAATGAATGTTTCATCATGTTTCATTTATTTGACAAATAATTTTGTATTGTAGTGTCAGGGGCATAATTTTGAGGGGGGCACGAGTGAAGGGGGGGGGGGCTCTCATGTTTGTCATGTGACACACAACATCCACAATACCACTGTAAAACTGATATGGGCTTATATCCCTACTGAAAAAAACAAACAATAAAACCATCACAGAAAATTTTAATGGTTTCCACAACAAATAACATTACAAACATTAAACCATTAACTTTTAACCATTAAAACCTTTAAAAAATGGTTTCTGTAGTGTGTTTTGGGACTTATTCCATTAGGATTTATTGGTTTTAACAAGCCACCAATAGAAGGCAACCAATTATCAGTAGAAACCAACAGGGTCCATTACAGTTTCCAGTAAAACCAATACAAGACCATTGTAACCAGTAAAACATTACACATTTTCTAATGGTGTCTATTGTTTTTTTCAGCAGGGGTTTTATTATTTATTTTTTTATTCAAAATATTCCCCAAATATATCATGAAATATCTCTATTCTGAAATATGTGTAAATAAATGCATTTTGCACCTTTATAGATTTGATCTATAATGGGCGATGGGCAAAGTAGCCTAATAGTGTAATCTATTAACTTTGCATAAAAATCTGTCTTTTTACTTAAGTACCAGATATGGGTGTCATAAAATATTTTAATACGACTGACTTTGTATTTAATGTGAATTTAATAAAAACATTGTAAGTTACTAATTAGCCTATGAATTGTTCATTGTACAAAAAGAGAGCAAGGAACGTTTACATTATCAAAGAACATTTTCACTTCAGTCCAGCGAGTTCAAGCCCTCTCAAAAAGTCCCATAATAATCTCTAAAGCTGTTTACACTGTGAAATTAATATCTTACATTCGTACATCTTCACTTTGTTTTTTCTGATGAGAGAATTAGTTCAGTCAGCCAGCGCGCGTGGTGACAAAACAGCGTGTTTCAGCGATGACTCATCTGAACGCGTCTGATTGGTACTTGCATTCATAAGCTCAACAGAATCATATGGGATTGGTTATAATGTGCAGCGCTTTAAAAACAGGTACGTCTGTGGCTCTGTGCCAGCTAGCGAATGCAGATTTGAATTTAGCAGCTGGTGATGTTTTTCTTTATATATATATATATATAGTTTACAGGACAAACTGTGCATTTCACCCAAAATTGTTTGGTGTGATATGATTCCAAATTTAGGGGGGGCCAAGCTTGTTGACAGGGGGGCACCACCCTAGAATCGCCCCTGCTTAAAAGTATCTCAATAGTAATCTCAAAAATAAAGGGAAATCAGTTGTTAACTAGTGAAATATGAATATTACCAACAACTGAGGTAGTAACTAAATGGGTACTAGTATCTAATAAGTGCAATAAAACTGAAATACACTATAATTTTTTTTCGAATATGTAAATAAAACAAAGATTACTGGAGGACATTTAAAAAAAAAATACTATTTTCAATCAGTGTTTCTACTTCAAAATGGCACATTTAATTCAATGTGTTACTTGCTTTTTCTTTGTAGATATTTGTGAATTTGCTAGCAATTTCTGAGTGAACATTGTTTTTACTCTTTGTCTGTGAGAAAGATATATTCACTCGACAAGCTCGTGCATCTGCGCCGCCGTGCCCTCAATCCACTCAGCGTGCTTTGTTTAGCAGCTCGCGCACACCAGCTATACAGGAGTACGAGTACGAGTACAGGAGACCAGTATCGGGCCCGATACCGTGAGCATCCCAATTAATAATGTAGAGGAGCATACTGAGTTTGGCCTTTTTATGCCACATCATGCCACGTTTTGCGGTATGGGAGTAAAATACTATATACATATTAATTATATTAATAAATTGTATATTTAATTTGATATTTTAATAGCATCTTAATACATTAAGCCATGTTAAGTGTTTATGATTTTCTACAGGAGGAAAACGCTTAACGAGAGACTTTGCGCATTGCGTTCATATTCTGCTGTTCTGTGGCGACGGATTTGCGGGTCTTGTCTTTTTCTTGCAGGACCCTGTATGTAATAGTGCTAAATTAGTTTTAATCGTTTAATCACCACAGCGTCTTGTCTCCATTGGCAACACTGGCCATTTGTGTCGATTGCAAGTGATGTCGCAGGTAGCTGAGAGTGCAAGTGGCGATTGCAAGTGACATTGTAATTTAGTTTATTTTTTCTTGTCTTCACCACCTGGCTACTGTTGTAAAATGTTGAGAGATTCAAACAAAAAGTGATAAAAAATAGACCAAAATAAAAAATAAAGCCTGCAAGTGAAGTCGCTAGCGGAAGCGCAAGTGTCTGAGAATGCAAGTCTGAGAGTGCAAGTGCGAGGCTGCAGCTAGACCCTTCTCAAACAGCTTGCCACATCTGTGGAGCGCATCGACGGCTGTGCACGCCTGATGGCGGATGGATGAACTGTTATAGAGTGCCAGGTTACCCGAGAGAGAGAGAGAGAGAGAGAGAGAGAGAGAGAGGGGGAGGAGAGCAAAAGAGAGAGATTAACATCTCGATCCAATGAAATATTTTTGGCAATTTGAGGATGACAGCGAAAGGACGACTTAAAGGTAGCGTGGCTTTTGCATTGCATTCCTGCATTGTTTCATGCATCTCCTTGCGCTCGCCCATTCGCATCTTTTACTCCAATGTCAGTGCGCGCGCTTGTCGGGTAGCTACCAACGCTCGGATAACGAGGTGATCTTGTGGGTTACCGTATCGATTGTGCGTGTAATGATGTGAAATGTGCAATGCCTCGAGACCTTGCACGAGTACACTCTTGTAATGCGGGGAAAATGCGCTGAGATCCTCGCAATGTCAGTTCGTGCACTGACATACACATCCTTGCATAGACGGCCTATGAGGGTATTTTAGTGTATCTTTCCGAAGCAGTATATTGATTCGTTGGTACAGCGTTACACACTGTAAACAAGGCTTGCACATAGAGGATGCGCTGCATCCAGAAATCCCAGTGGCATTAAAGCGAAATGTTATTGCAGACAAACAAGTTGCATTGCAGTACTATATATTTCATGTGATGTGATGCATAAATACGTTGAGACTATGCAAACCCATCATAACTAGCCTATACCAATGCATGCATGCACGCACTGTAAACTTAGCTAAATTTAAAGCCATATTTATATTTCCAGTTTTTGCAATATACAATACATATATAACAAAAAAAATAATAACCATTAGAATGCCAAGTAGTGAAGATGTGGGCACTACAGCATCACTGGATGATGGGATATGTGTATGTGTATGTATAGTGTGGGCGGTCAGTGGAGAGAGGGGTTAATTAGACTTCAGCAATGCCTGTGCATACTGAAAAGCTACCCAAAAGCAGCTATCCCCTGTGTATATGTGATCAATTTGTTTGGATTATGGAAAACAATAAGAGTGGACAGGGGAGGCATGTTTTGGACCACCATAGTGTGTGAGCAAGTGTGGTTTGGGCAGAGAGAGAGGTGTTGTGTACTGTAAGGGCTATCCCTTCAACCCTGGAGTGTGGCCGCCTGTAATTATTTAGCAACATATGCCATTCTGCATTAAATAATCATAGTGCAGCATATGTGTCACATTTATGTAATATTAACCGTTAGGTATCTTGGGTACTAAGCTTTAGGGAAGGTCTGTGTGAGAGCGTGTCCAGATATAGCTGGTGTATGAGGAAGGCAAAGCAGCCAGTGTGACGTGAGAAAGGTATGAGGAGGACACAGCGGAAGTGAGAAACTGCCTGATGGTTCATAGAAACCTTAAGGAAAAAAGTACAGTGGGTTATCCTTGATTATAAAAGCAGCATGGTGCTTTTGACATATATGCATATATTGCATGGTATGTACATATACTCCAGTGTAGGTCTGACAGTACTATGGTATTACCATGGTACATGTCCAAAAATTCAAGAAACATGCTACCATGTTCGAAAAAGCATGACATTACCATGGTACAGTTTTGTTATACTAAAAATGTACCAAAAAGTACTATGATATTTTAAAACGTACCAAAAAGTACTATGATATTTTGAACATATACCATGTAG